GCCGGCACCGCGACGTACAGTACTCTCCGGGGTCACTCGTCTTGCTGTGGTTACCATCACGTCGTGTTGGTCTCAGCGAAAAACTAATGTCCCGTTACGTTGGCCCCTACCGCGTCATACGCAAGGTCACCAGCGTGACCTATGCGATAGCTCCACTCCATACCACGTCAGTACCAGCTTCAGTCCCGACCGATATAATGCACGTCTCACGGCTTAAGCCATACTTATCACGCCTCGAGAATTGATCGCACCGGGACGGTGCTTCTGCCGCCGGCGGGTAATGTCACGGGCTAAGTAGATGCCTGAGGATGACGACGACGAAGTGCTGAACGGGAACGTGCTCGGACTGCAGCAGCGTCGTACGCATTAGCTCGCCATTATATTCGCCAGTACACATTTGTTCACCAGTGTATACTTTATTCCCCGTAACATCATTCACGGAGTGAATGATGATGAGTAGGGCGACGCATCCGTCAGTTCGTCCGTGCTTCGTCCGTCCGTTTGTTCTGATTGATTGTTATGTAAGGTTTAACGTCCCAAAACCACCATCTGATTATTAAATTTCCGGAGCCCTCCACTACGCCGTAGTGGAGGGCTCCGGAAATTTCGACCACGTGGGGTTCTTTAACGTGCGCCTAAATCTGAGCACACGGGCCTACAACATTACCGCCTCCATCGGAAATGCAGCCGCCGCAGCTGGGACTCGAACCCGCGACCTGCGGGTCAGCGGCCGAGTACCTTAGCCACTAGACCACCGCGGCGGGGCTGTCCGTTTATTGTTCGTTCCGTTCGTCCATCCGTCCCTGTGACCATCCACGCGTCCGTTCGTTCATGCAACCGTCCGTGCGTTCGTCCGTCCGTGCGTCCCTTTGTCCATTCGTCAGTTCTTCCGTGCCTCGGTGCGTGCGTCCACCCTTTTGTGCGTACATGCAGCCATCCGTCCGTGTGGCCATCCATACGTTAATGCGTCCCTTTGTCCGTCTATCTGTCTGTCTGTCCATTCGTTCACCCGCGTTCATCTGTCTCTCTGTCTGTTTGTCCTTGTCCGTCCGTTCATCTAATTAACACTCCAAGTGCTGCCATATTCATCATATACAAGTACCGCAATCCAGCAGACATTTCAAAGACTAAACGAGAGGTGGCTACCTCTGGTTTAGTAGTAGTAGTAGTAGTAGTAGTAGATAGCTATCCCTCGTTTTGTCCTCTGAATGTCCGCTGCACGGTGCTACTTCTACATGATGAATATGAGATTAAAAAATGCAAGAAGGCGGTACTTAGACTGTTCACTAGATAGACGAATGAACGGATGGAAGGACCGAAAGACAAGCAGACGGATGGATGGATGGACGAGTGGACGATTAAACAGATGAACAGACAAATGTATGGAAGAACGGACGGACGGACACATGGACGGATGAACTGGTGCACAGACGGATGCATGGACGGAGGGATGGACGACGTTTTAAGTCAGTTTCATTCGGTATGGCATAATTTATTCATTTTTGTATAGACGCAACAAATTGTCTTGTGTAGTACTGAAGATGAAAAAGCCTTACTTGATATAGTTATTTTACAAAATGTTTCAGACATGAAGAATAGCATTCTGTCAAGAGACGCGGAGTGAAATCATAGTCACAATGCTTCCGTAATTTGCGCAGTGTTGCCACATAATTATAAAGCATGGCTGCACATACGTTATCAAGAGTTTTATAACTCGCTCAAACTGACCCAGAAAATATACCTCAACTTGTGTGAATCCAAGGGATTACTTGGATTCACACCCGCCAATGTTTTGTTCAAGCGGAATTTCTTCAATTTAACTCATTCGCACTCAAACTTACCAAAATATTTTACATCCTTGGACTCACTAAATGTGGGTAAGTTTCAGACTCATGAGTTCGTAAGAGTATAATTAGCTGTTTCGTCCAAAGCGTAAATGTTTATTAACGCCAATACCTTGCATATTCGGTGCTTCACTTAGCGCTTTCGATCTCGTATCTTATTGTCGTGCTATCAGTGGTTTAAATTCACTAGGGAAACTCTTGATTGATTTAGTGATTGATATGTGGTGTTTAACGTCCCAAATTCACCATATGATTATGAGAAACGCCGTAGTGGAGGGCTCCGGAAATTTCGACGAGCTATGGTTCTTTAACGTGCACCCAAATCTGAGCACATGAGCCTACAATAATTCCGCCTCCATCGGAAATGCAGCTGCCGCAGCCGGGATTCAATCCCGCGACCGGCGGGTCAGCAGCCGAGTACCTTAGCCATTAGACGACGGCGTCTGGCACTAGGCAAACTCTTATGGAAAGTGATGACTGACACGATAGGTTTTCAGCAAAACCTTCTTTTAAAAGAGAATACAAGGCAGCTGTTCGAGCCACGTCACACCCTCCGTAACTTACTCATCTGTTCAATTAATATTGAGGTGTAGTACGAACGCTACTGTTTTGATATGTGAGTAGACATGATAAATATAAACGTGAGCCGACATAAGGCTTGAAGTAATGTTCAAGTTCAGCAGATATAACGTGAGGTCCGCAAAACAAAGAGGAGTTTACTCAGACTCGCTGATAAAGTACACTTAGTCCTTAGGGTTACTCGGACTCCACCGATCAAAGTGTCACTTTGTTCTTTAGGCGAACTCACATGGACTCACATTCACCTAAACTTTAACTCAACCAGGTGAACTCAGACTTCAACTCACGGCCCTATGACAGTCTGTGTGGGTTCGCCTACTTTAGTTGCTAGCCCGTACGACGTCATTACATCAACATTTCTATCAAGAAGCAGTACACGCTGTCTCTCATACAGAGCGAGTGCCTCTCTCAGAAGTAACAACTTAAAAATAAATGCCAAGGTTTCAGGGAGCCACCACAGGTAAGAAGAATTAACGCACGTGCTGGGCACGTGCTGTTCTCATAAGCCTTGGATGTTGGTCATGGGTAGTGTCATAAATATTGTACATGCAAACTGCACGAAATCATTGAACCTATAATTAGTTCTGAACTTCCTTCACGGGTACGCATATAAAACTACTAAAGTGGCAACGCAACTACAACTTTAGGTCAAGTGTTGAGGCATACCCAGTTTTTTAGGAGCGCAGCTCCTTATGGCGTGGCTTGTGCGTTCCTTGTAGTACGTAACCACCAGTGGCACATGCCCGAAATAGGTATAACATTTGATCTCCAAGGTGGTGCCGGTGAGAAATTTCTTCTGTGCGTTGTTTAACAATAAAAATTGTGCTCAATGTACATGCCAATGGCTGCTAATGGGAAATGAGAGACAGGAGCATTCGGCTTTTAGTCAACGCGCACGCTGCGATCCCCATTAGCAGCCATTGGCATGTACATTGAGCGCTATCGGACGAGAAAGCGTTGCTACATTATACTCGCTGGTTGTAATCTCCTTAGTTTTAGAAAGCTTTAGCGAGCGTAGAGCCGCAGGGCCATGAATACAATGAACTAGTATATACCATGAATGAATTCGAGGTGGTTAAAGGGGGGAATCAGATACGAAGCGCAAGCCGTAAGAAATTAAAAGCTGAATCCTCCTGTCTCTCATTTCAAATTAGCAGCCACTGGCATGTACATTGAGCACTATCTGCAGGAAAAGGTTGCTACGTTATACTCGCTGGGCGTAACCTCCTTGGTTTTAAAAAGGTTTAGCGAGCATTGGGCCGCAGTGCCATGAATACAGTGAACTAGTATATACCATGAACTCAAGGTGGTTGAAGGTGGGAAGTAGACCCGAAGCGCAAGCCGTAAGAAAGTGTGCGTGTGCCACCTCTCGTTTAGTCCTTGGAATGTCCACTGAATGGCGGTGCTTCAATATGGGGAATATATGATAAAAAGATGCGAGATGGTGGGACTTGGAGTGTTGACTAGATGGACGAACGGACACACAGACAGATGCATGGATGGACGCATGAACGGACGCAGGGACGGATGCATGAACGAACGCAGGGACGGGCGCACGAACAGTCGAATGGACGGTCACACAGGCGGACGCATGGACGGACGAATGCTTCGCCCCACTCTCCATCTATCACTCTGTGGATATGCTGCCATTTTTTTTGTTATTGTCTGCATACACGACAAGACGAACGAGAGCGTTTTTTGCAGGAACAATTAAGGAAGCATACGTTGCAATCTAGATAAGCGCGCAGGTACTTGGATGTCTTATCTTCAATGGGACACTGCTCAGAGACGAAATATTACCCTTTGGATCGGTGACGTAGCCAGGAGGTGACACACTTCGTCTGTGCCTCTCCCCACACTCATTTTTTTGCCATGGCATCCAGAACCCAAAACGATGCTCGACTACATATGCATGTGAAATCATGTTGATGCACCCTCCCCCTCGAAAAACATTTCTGCTTATGACCCTGCTTTGGTCTGTGCCCTGTGGAGACAAGATTAGATAGGCTTTTTGTGTTTACAAAACTGTTTGTTTACCTGATTTGTACCTGCTTATTGGCATATTTTAGTCGCGAGATAACACAAATACAGAACAAAGAAACACACAACGCCAAGGACAGGCGGGCGTTGTGTGTCCCTTTCCTCTGTTTTCGCGTTATTTCCTGGCTAAAATATGTCATTAAGACTACTTGTTCATTCGTAATTGTCTCTTAAGTCATTGGCCTAATTTATCGATGACCAATGCTTGCTTTCCGTTATTGTCCTAATCTTCATGCTGGTATTTATATTTGTCATATAAATTTGTTATGCATTAACTAATTTGCGCTATTTCCTGTGGTTGATTTTGTAAGAGTGATGTCAGGCATTCATATTTCGAGAAATTTCATCCCTAATTAGTGTACACATTTAAGACAAATGAGGAGTTGAAAATCATTTAATTCCTCAGAAGCGGAAAAATATTTGCGACTCTCAAAAACTGCATGTGGATATGGCGTATTATGCTATTAAAAAGTTCCCTACAAACAAATACTTAACAACTGCTCATTATTTATCGCCTGTAACTTTTTCATGGCTCACCTTGATGACAGAGACGTACACCGGCATGCCCTTGAAGTGGTCCAGAAGTGTGGAGATTGTGCCTCGCTTCCGTCCTTTCAGTGCCTCGCCATACAAATCGTCCAGCACATCCCCTACTTGTATTTTGCCCTGAATAGGTAGAGCATATATTGTCACTGCCAGCTACTCACGTGTACAGAATTCACGGTGCAAGATGCGGGTTAAGGTACGAGCAGAGAGGGGGTAGTAATTTTGCCAACGGTTCTAATTCACCAATAAATGGCTGTTTCGCTTGTTATTCGAAGACGCGAAAAGACGCTGTGTTTGCTCTCGCTCTCTCTTGAACGCGCTGCAAGCAGGCGTCGGAAGGCACACACGCCTTGTGCTCGAAAATTCACTTCGATAATAATTGGTCAGGTTCGTTTAGATGACAACGGGTGCCGCATGCTGCGGCGAAGATAACGGCCCACGCATGACGTCACTCCTGATGGTAATATGTGTGCTCTTTGCGAATAAGGACACTTTTTTTTGCTTTGTCACCACTCGTTTGCAACCAACTACGAGAAAGATTTAACGTCATAGTAATGCCGCATAATTACTCAGGTAAAAGGAAAGACAACCTTGAAATGAAGGAAGCAGAAAATCAGCTGTCTTGAAGAATGGCATCTTTAAAGACGTCACTTCTTTCGACGTGGGATGTGCTTGATAGGTCACAAGACTTCTTTCAAATAACTTCATGTAAAGGTGCCCTGGAATACTTTTTTAGCAAAGTCCGAAAACACTGCTACTCGGCTCCCGAGAATACTTGACCCAAACACTACAGCGCACGATGGTTGTAATGTGGGCTTGTAGGTGAATTAGTTCATGTTTCAAACAGATTTAATGTAGCGCGGAAAAACACATGAACACGAGAAGTCACGAGAAAACACCACGAAGCGCTTCGAGCATCAAAGCTGTTCAAATTATAGTGCAGCACACAGCTTCCGATTCACTCTGATTCTTATTCGGCTAGAACCTTTCCCGATGAACTAATTATGCTACATACTCAGCTGACCATGCCATACGCTGTACGGCATGTCCATTGGTTAACATGAGATTTCTGAGCTTCATATAGTTACTGGGGCCGCCACGGGCCCAAGCGCAGGCTGGCGATGGTGAAGAAAGTCGTACGTTCAATGAAATATTTGAGGCCACTTCGCACAAGCGTTATCAAGCCTGAAGAAACTGCGGAGCTGGGCAGCCTTCGTTGTTTGTTTATTGTTGGTTCTCTTTTAAATGCGACGCATTTCTTCGCACACTGCAGGCATTGGTTGATTGATTGATATGCGGGGTTCAACGTTCCAAAACCAGAATATAAGGAACGCCGTAGTGGAGAGCTTCGGAAATTTCGACCACCTGGGGTTCCAGAACGTGCACCCAAGTCTGAGCACACTGGCCTACAGGATTTTCGCCTTCATCCAAAATGCAGCCGCCGCAGTCGGGATTTGATCCGGTAACCTTGCGTGTCCGGTGACCTTAGCCACTAGACCACCGTGGCGAGGCACGCACATTGTAGGCACTGTTGGTCTGTCTACGTATCTATTTATCTGTCTAAACGCCTACGTACAAGTGGTCGTGTGATCACCCACTGAACTTGGCGTGAACAAATATTAGCTTAAAAGCATCAGATAAAAAAAGGAAAGAAGACAACTACCCGTTTGTAGCACGAAGCCACAAGGACATCCGTTTTCTCAAAAAGTTAAGCGCTCCCGCCACCTAGTGGGTTTACGCGGAACTCTTTTGCGATTCAGGGTAACATGGTTTGATGAGTATGACCCGCTGGTTGTGACATGAGTAATGACACAAGGTCGTCGCGTACGTCATAAAAGTTTTTTTGCCGATTAATGGCACATACTCGCGGGTGGGTATGTGCCACTAGTATGCGGGTATGCACTACTGTGGATTGACAGTTTATTTGTATTAAAGAACGGTGACAACAGACATTGGTAATTTAAATGCGAAATCGTTATCGAAAACTGACATCGGCACCGTTGACCTGATGAACATCAGGGTCTCACTAGGAATCAATCCCAAGCATTCTGCATGGCAATCAAGTATTCAAACACAAAGCCACGCCACATCTCGGTACTGCTTTTGTAAAATACACTATCTTTGTAAATTATTAATGAAACTTCAATTGTGGATGCATTGCTGGTAATATAATTTTATAAATATTACACAAATACACCTATGATGCAGCCATCACGACGGGTTGACGTCAGCTGTAATTAAATGACATTCATTGAAGTTAATTCATGTAGGACTGTCCAGGGCTACCATTCTGGCTATCATAAGCACGTGATGTCAGCTTAGCGCTTCTCGTGTTGCTAATACTCTTGGTGATGTTGGCATAGTTGCGTAAGGGTAAATAAGTGCTTTTATAAAACAAATGCTTGCGTTCTGCTTATGTCTGTGCCTACAACACTTTTATATATATTTAGTTTATTCTCGTAGTATAGCACTCTATGATAAAAATACAACAGTCAGCTCTCCTCTGCATCTATCGCATAACGTCGATTCCCAATGTGTGTAGGATTTGCTTTTTTTTTTCTCCACTGTGATGTTCTCGTACACCAGTTTTTGTTTTGGTCTATTTTTTCATTCCATTCCTTTCTTACTGTCTTTTTAGTTATTTATTTTTTTGCTCTTTGTAGTTGCGTTCCTATTTTTCCCATCTCTATGTTTCTAAGCGTGCTTGCTTAATCTTGTCTTTCTTATTTTGTTACATGATGCCTGAATAACCCCACACGCACTGGTTATTTCTTTTTCTTTCTTCTTAGGCTGATGGTTATAAGGAGTCATCATCAAGGAGCTCGAAGAACAAGAAGGACAAGACTTCTCCTCGACGTGAGGGCGCGCCCATTACGATACACATGAAGCGCCAGGCAAAGCGACGACGGCACCATACGCCAACCCGGAGCCCTAACGTGCTACTCAAATTAAAAAATGTGTTCAAGGCCAGCAGCCACACAGTACATAACTTCGTTTCCCCGTCTCAATTCTGCGTGCATTGCGTACAGCACTTTTGTCTGGACGAAAAAAAAAGATAAATTGATTATAAAACAAATATTGCATGTTACAACTGCTGAAAGAAAACAATTGGCCCGAGTATGCATGGTATACTGCAAATGTCGTCGAAAGACGATAGTCTTGCGTATGGAGAGAGTGAACAAATCGTTTATTTATTGTTCTGTGCAAGAAAATTGGTGAATGCTATTCTGGAGGCCCTGCGTTAGAGTGCCTCGAGCGTGTACTGGAGGTGAACGAGCACATCGAGGCACGTTAGACACGAGCGCCATCTGGCAGTTATCTTCAAAAACGAAGGCGTGTGTGCCCACGGAGAAAGATGCGCGCCAGTCTCGGAAGTGATAAGGTGTAGAACGCAAAGTGACGGGCAGGTGCCACCACCATGCCATCGTAGCAAAGCGTTGGAAGCACCTTTCTGAGCATCGTGTTGCATTGTCAGCGCAGCGCAATAAACGCTACAGTCCTTAAGGTTACTTGAGTGTGCCTCTTCTAAGACAAAGTCAGACTTACAAAATATGGGCGTGTCGTTAAGGTATCTCAGATATGCGCAATAATTGATTTTAACCTGACGATTGCACAACTATGAACGCTAAACCTTGAGCAATAAAGGTGGGCGCTGCGGATAGGGTTGGCCGTTTGGTGCCGTGTGCGTTATCATTAAGGGCAAACGGAAAAATGTACAGACAGACAGACAGACAGACAGACAGACAGACAGACCAAAATTTTTCCGTCAAAGGTCCCCAAGAAAGACTATTGTCTTTAAAAAACAGACACGGTGCAAAGAGTATGGGGACAAAGTCAAGAAAAGAAACAAGGCTCCCGTGTATGTCATTTCGTTTCTTCACTTCGTTCCCGTACTCTGTGTGCCGTGTCTGTTCCTTCTTTACGTGCTATCTGACGGAGCAACAAGCCCTGTTTACAGATTATGGTAACTTCTGTCCTGATTCGCGGGTTCCAAAATCTCTTTGCGGCAGTCGATTGATGAGGTATTGAAGTCATTTTTGGAAGCCAATCGATTCCTACTTGGAAAAGTTCTGCAGATCCCCTTTAAAATAAGATATTTTTTTGTAATAAAAGTATACGTCTATAAAGAGTTTCTCCAAGAAATTGGGTGGTACATTTAGTGAACACTTTTTTCTCGGCATTGGCACTAGACGTATCACTCAAGCAGACACATTACGGGTCCTAACAGCTCTTGACAACCTAAGCAAAAATAATAAAGCATATCAGCCACTTTAAATCTTGAAGTTGACAGCAATCAAAATTCTAGGATCTATAACTCAGGCCAAGTAGAAGAGTCTGGTTTGGGCCTGTTGGTATTCATTCCTTAGAACAGGAACCTGAAATGTGGTCTGTCAATTCTTGGGAGTCATTTTTAAGATTCACCTCAGCTTGTCTGAGCACATAAATCATGTTCGTGCTGAGTTATCGAGATCTCTTGGTATGTTATATAGGCTGAAGTATGTATTGCAGTTGCGCGTAAAAACACAAATATAACTCGCTTTCATTCATTCCCACCTAACATATTTTCACCTTGTCTGGGGTACGTGCAACAAGACTGATGCCGAACATGTTTCCTCTTTACAAAAAAGGAGCTTAAAAATGATTTCATCCGATTATCTGCCGTCAACCGATTCTTTGTATAAAATTTTGAACGTGCCACCATTCTGAAAATTACACCAGTATTTTTTTAAAAATAATTTTCCGCGAAATCAATCATGATCGTAGCATGTTCTCAAATATCTAAACGAAAAAGGGGCATCTGACGATCGCAATATTTTATTAACGAGACGAAGGCCAAGGACTAAGTACAGTACTAAAACTATAGATTATCAGAATATTTCATTTTTAATGCATAGCTATGTTTATTCGAATTGGCCAATGAAAAGGCAACTAACTCATGTTTAAAAAAACAAAACAAGTAAAGCAACTGTTGCGGCCTCTTTGCAATATACAATCGTTCTTCAATGAACGTGAAATCTATGTTGATTTCTATATTTGTATAAATTTATATAATTGTTAAACCCAAACATGCAATGTAAACTTTGAATAATTTTGTTTCAATGTGTTTCTACTGTTCATTTTTTGTTTATATAAGCTTTGCCATGAACATTGTGCCTATTTTTTTCTGCTCTCTTTATACTTGTTTTTCTGGAGCCTTGTACTTATTTTCTGTGGTTTTGTTGCTAGCTAGCCGACGTCTGAGTCCGGGGGGACGACTTCGTCAGAAGACGTAGGAGTCTCATTTTTCCTTGCCTCGTCAACATATTTCATTATGTTTGTATCTTTGTCCGAATCAAACTATTCTATCCGTTCTATTCTGCGCAAAATGACGATTTGCCTGCCCGACCCCCACTTTCGATAAGGAGGTGAGCTCTCAAAAACTGAAATTTTTTATACTACCCTGCCTTGGAAAATAGATAAACACAGCATTCAAAGATACGTACACAATAACAAACATTTCACGACCACACACGCTAAGACATGCAGTAATCAATACTTTCATCTTGGGTTACTGTCTTTACAGGCGGGGTTCACCAATTCTCCAGCTTTAGTATAGCTCGAAGTATCCTGCGACTCCACTAAGGTTGTGAACGGTTTGCCATGCATGCATGCAACATCAGGCTTGAATTATTGATGACGTTTTTTTTTAGTGAAGGTTATCGTATACGTACGTCTTCCCCCGCGACACTTCCTTCTTCAACTTGTGTGACCACAGGAACTCCAGCGGCAAACCTGGATTAAACAAAACATTGTGTACAACTAAACTGTTGCACTTTACATTTTTCGTTCTTGGTATATAATTTGCAGACAAATTTGTCGTTAGCTTTTTTAATCCAAGCTGGACAAGCAGTGACGCATGTAACGAGCTTCTACGGCTACCACTTTTACTAGTTCGTCTTCTCAACTAAACTTTTGTAATGTTTAGTTACGTGAGATAAGTCACAGTTTCACCGCAAGGGCAAGGGGATCAATGCGATGAGAAAAGCTGGAATGTCACTCGGATAATCACAAGCAGATCGAAACGTGCAAAAAGCCTATCAAGCACGGTGGGTGCACGAAAATAACGTATGCAGTGTGAGCGCAAACTAACAGTAAAAAAGACAAAAGAATACAGCAGGTGATTCATACATTCTTAAATTTTTCCACAATCTTAAGATTGCAAACAGGTTTGACGTAAAGGTCGCATTTTCTGCCTCGTCTAAGCTAGCTCAGATCTGTCCACTATTAACCAAAGACAACTCGGATTGTTATTCAAAGACGCATGCTCACCGTTACACTGACAGTGTTACACACGTGGTTCACAATATACTCTACCTCTCAGCTGTAGCAAAGATTACATCGGCCAGGCAGTACGATGCGTAAAACTAAAAGCTCAAGACTCCTTTTTGAATGTAAGGAATGAATAAGGGGAACACCTTGTTGATCACTGCAACAAGATGCAGCCGTTATATACCTTACTCTCAAGGGATAGTGACAATCTACCAGTCATAATTTGAGAGTGCTTGCCAAATGTGCTTCACCAAATTCTTATTATTATAGTTTTCTAAATATTGTGGTACGGCTGGGCTGTTATTAGCTGTCCACGTAGACGTAGTCTTTTACAACTTCAAGGGCACGATTGCATATCTCGAAGCGCTTTTCTCTTCCGAGGTTATTGTACATTACTTTCGTTTTCTGTAGATTTATCAAAAATTAAGACCTATTCTTTGGCCCTCCCTGTATTACTCTGTAATCATCAGTTGATAATAATCCCCTCAGTTACTCAGCAATTTGATGTCAATGGCGAAGCGTGTAGGTGACTAAAGTACTCTCCATTAACTCTTATCTACAACTCTTCCCATTCTAGGCCTCTAAAAAACCCTGTAAGCACGCGGTAAATAGCATTGAAGAGATTGTATCCCTCATCCTTACACCCTTCTTGATTTATATATTGTCGCTTTCTCTATAGCTCACTGTGGTCGCAGTTGATCCTCTGTATATAGGTTTCTTGCAAGATATTTTCATGTGCTTTGTTGACGCCCTGATTTCGCAGTGTCTGCATTATTGCTGATATTTCTACTAAATCAAATTCTTTATTGTAATATATCACGGCTATATATAGTGGTTGGCTGTATTCTGAGCATTTTTCTGTCACCTGATTGATAGTATAAATGTGGTCGACTGTGGAGTAACGTGTACAAAATCCTGCTTGTCCATTTGGTTGATTGAATTCTAATGTTGTCCTAATTCTGCTACGAATTGCCTTTATAAATGGCTTGTATACGGAGGAAAGCAAGCTTATCGGCCTGTAACTCTTCCAGTCCTTGTCATCTCCTTTCTTATGTATTAGGTTGATGTCATCAGTTTTCCAAGATTCTGGTACTCTTTCCGTAAGGAGGCACTTCGTAAACAGGGTAGATGTTTTTCTAGCACAATCTGTCCTTCCCCTTTCAGCAGATCTGATGGTATTTGATCATCAACGGAAGTTTTGCCTCTTTGCATTCCTCCCAAGGCATCTCTGACTTCTTTTATTAGTACTAGTGGGTTGCTATCTGGGCTACTGCTAGTACTTATATTGAGGTCGTGGTGGTCCCGGCTACTGTACTGTCTGTGAAACTTCTCCGCATTTAAACTATTCTTTTCATATTGGTAGTTGCTTTGCTTTTCTTGTCCCGTAGCGCATGCATCTGGTTTTTGCCTATCTGAATGTCACTCTTCACTGCTTCGATGCTTCCTCCGTTCTTCAGAGCGTGTTTGATTTTCTCCATAATATACCTCCTTATATAGGATACCTTACGCCTAGTATTCAGCTTCAAAGCTCTGCAAATTCTATTATGCTTGTTGTATTTGAGGCTTTTATGCGTTGACGCTTCTTAATGAGGTTCATTGTCTCCTGAGTCAGGTTGCCAGTGTCGTGTCTAAGCACCATACCTCCCACTTCCACTGCACACTCTGTGATAATTTTCGTCAGGTTACCATTGATTGCGCCAACGCTAAGGCTGGTTTCCTGAAGATCCGAGTACCTGTTCTGAAGTGAGACTTTGCATTCCTGCACATTTTTTCCCGGTGCTTGCTCATTCTTGGCTTCTTGCATATCGGTTTCTGTCATTGTTTCTTCAAGTCTAGGTGAATTCGAGACAGTACTATTCTATACTTACTGCATCATGCCTTGCCATTCACTTCCAAATTATGCACGATGCCTGGGTGTGCGCTCAGTAAAAAGTCTGTTTCGTTTTTACTTTCACCATTAAGGCTTCTTCATGTCCACTTACGGTTCCCTCGTTTTCGGTAGAAGGTATTGAAGATCCGTAAATAATTGCGTTTGGCGAATTCTACTAGTAGCTCGCCTCTGGCATTCCTATACCGACGCCATATTCTTCTGCTTGATCTCCATCCTGCTTCTTCCCTACCTTGACATTGAAGTCTTCATAAAAGCTTTCAACAGATGCGTCATCATAACTGGAAGTGGGCGCGTAAGCCTCTATCACGTTCGGCTTTCATCTCTCATTGAGTTTATAACCAAGCCCACCCCCCTTTTCCTAATGTTAGAGTATTTCTCTATGTTACCAGCTACATTTCTGTGGATAAGGAGCCCCACGATGAGCTCTCTTCTGTGAGCCAAGCCATGATAGCAAGAGTATGTGCCCAGTCCTAGCACCGTATAGGCTTTATCTGTTCTCCTAACCTCACTGAGGCCCAATTACATCCCATTTAACACCCTCTAACTCCTCAAATAGTACAGCTAGACATGCCTCACAAGATAAGGCTCTAGCGTTAAACGTTGCTAAGTACAGGTTCCAATGACGGCCTATCTGGACCCATAGATTCTTAGCACCATTTGCTGCACTGCAGATCAGACCACCGCCACGGTCAGTTGCTTCGCTGCCGCTGCAGACTGAAGGCCGTGAGTTAATTGACGTATGCATTAGAGAGTTAGTGGCCACATACTGCACAAGGGTGGCAAATCTATCTCTCGTGAGGGAGTGCATTGGCGGTGGAGGTCACCAGTGAGTGCGCACCAAAGGCCTCCTAATGCATGCAGATTTTCCAGCGGGCGTTTATTTAAAAATCCGGTTGGGAACTGCACGGCACTGGGATTCGAGCAGGATCGGCTGTCGTCTCTTGTTCTCTGTCTCGCTCATCACAATGGCGCAGTCGACGAAGAAGAAGTCTTACGTCCCGGCTTTGTCATCCAGGACAGCTGCGATAAGCGCCGCTTGAGGACGACGTCAAGGCCTCCTCGGCGGCTGTTCACCTGCCGCCACTGCCACCACCGTTTGGGGACGGCGTCAAGGCCTCCTCGGCTGCTGCAGTACCCGTTACTGGTACCGTTTCACAAGGGACGCCGTCCACGCGTCCTTGGCTATAGATTCTGCCGTCAGCGCAAGCCGAAAAGTGAACCCTCTGCGGGAAGCCACCGGTACGTGTCTTCGTGGTTTGTCGGCAGTGCGGGCTTCTCAATCAAGGAACGTCGTTGACGCTTCCTTGGCAATGGGGTCCCACCCGCCGCTTCAGCTACCCTTCAAACCACCAGTGGACGGCGTCCAGGCCTCCCCTGGGGTTGTAGGACATGACCTTATTGACACCCTGCCGCCATTTCACGGCAGGGATCCGCACCAGCTCCTGTCCTTTGGGAATGCCGCTCACGCTTCCCATGGCCTACATTCCCGTTGCCGCATTCTTTCAACATACGAGCTGCCAGGGAACACCGTCCAGGCTTCTCCGCTCGTCAACTTCACCGTCGTGAGTGCTGCAACCGCTACTCATTGGATGACCCCGATCACCAACGCTTCAGACTTCACACACGACAGCGCCGCGAACCTGCGGCGTACCATCGCACTACTCCGCGTCAAGTCTGACGAACTGACAGCGTCAACCTCCGAGCGAGCTCCTACAATGTTGCCAAAATTGCGTGCCACTAACGCCGTGTTGGACGTAGCTGCCTCGCACGACCTTGAGGCAAGCCCATTGGAGCAACGCAGGCAGCTTTGGGGCATCCTCCTGCAGCTCTCAGACCAGCTCGACGGCGTTGCCTCAATGATAACCGCATTCTCGCATGCCACCCCACCATCGCCGTCCACCTACGAACTGCCGGAATTCGACGAGGTCCGGAACGACGCCGACAGCTGGGTGGCAACCGTCAACGCGCTAGCAATGGGCGAGGCCTGGACGGAATCTCAGAAATGAACCGTGGCTGTAGACCGTCTTCGGGAAGGTGCAGTGGCGTGGAACCAGTATGATGGCTGGAAGCAGCAGTCATTGGCGGAGTGGAGCTGCAAGCTCAAAGCTGCTTTCGGTCGTAATCCTTACCACCTCTCCACCACCACACCGTCCAACCTGGCCGGTATCAAGGAGCAAGCTCCAGAGGCTTTCCATCTCGAGGCTGAAGCTGTGCGCTGCAGCTCGACTGTGCTGTATTGCCCTTCACCGACGCAACCCCATTCGCACACCGAGCTGAAGTGGAGCAACATCTCAAAGGTTCCTCAGAGCCCTCCAGCCGTGCTGCAGAAAGCTTCTCTGCCTGTCCTACAAATGGCGTCAGACGCAGGTGCGACACGCCACTGCTGCTCTCAGTACCCACGCCGGTACACGATGCCATCATGTCACTGGAAGAGGCTGATACCAGTCCTCATACAGCTCAGTTAGAGAAGCCAGCCCCAATATCACCTTTACTGAGGCAAGTCGAGGCACCAACATTACCTATGCTTGAACCGCCTACGGTGATGGCGCCGGTAGAGCCCAAGGTAACCACTGCTGGTGTCACTGACCAAGATCATGAAGAGAAAGTTGGCGCTCAAAATGCAGACAGCCACCAGTCTCGACCTCCCGATAGACTTGTGGAATACTCTGTCACCCAGTTTCAGCGTGGCCAAGGCCGACCTCCGAAATGCAGCCACTATATTGACCGCCAGATCTACCTTTGGCAGATACCGGAACCAAGTCGCGGCCGAGAGCATTGGCCGCAACGGGGCAGTCAGTTCCGGCCACCTGAGTCCACAGCACTTTTTGAAAAGACATCGTGGCGTGCAAAAGAGTGACCAGCTCGAGGCAGCCAGTGCCGTCCACCAAAAACTTTGCCGCCAGCTCCGCGCGCGCGCAGTCATGGCCGAGTGTCATCACCCAGAAAGACGCTGGCGCTTCGGCGCGCGGATAGCTACAGCAAGGAGGAGGAAGACGAAGGACAGAATAAGAACAGCTGGCCCAGAATCGGGTGTTGTCTCTTGTTCTCTGTCTCGCTCATCACAATATATATATAAATATATATATATATATATATATATATATATATATATATATATATATATATTTATATATATATATATATATAGTTCAGTAGATCCTCCGTCAGTGGTCACAACGCGGTTTATTTTGACGTTTAGCCCTAGAGTCTGGCCCATCAGGATTGAAGGTACAGTTGGTTTGTGCTCACCTTTATACAATCTCAAATCAAAGGGAAAGAGGAAAAAAAGACACAAAAAGGAAGAAACGGTAAAGAAAATAAAAAGAAAGAGAGAAAGAGAAAAAGAATATAAGGTGGACTCCCCCCGAGCGCCCCCCTTCCACTCTTCCTTCCACTTTCCATTCTATCTCTCTCCTCCTTCTCCCCTTCACCTTTCTGATGTGAGCGGTCTGTGTATGCTTCATAATACACAGACCGCTGACCGCTGCTTCATCATACACCGCTGGCATCAGAAAGGTGAAGGGGAGAAGGGGGAGAGAGATGAAGGGGGAAGCAGAAGGAAGAGTGGAAGGGGGGCGCCCGGGGGGTCCACCTTATATTCTTTTTCTTTTTTTGTCTTTTTCCTTTTTTCTTTTGTTTTTCTTTTCTTCCTTTTTTTTCTTTTTTTTGTCTTTTCCTTTTTTATTTTGATTTGAGATTTTATAAAGCTGAGCACCAACAAACTGTACCTTCAATCCTGATGAAGGCCAGACTCTAGGCCGAAACGTCGAAATAAACCACGTTGTGACTGCTCACGGAGGATCTACTTGACTATATGCAACACTACGGCCACTCAACCACCATGCCTGCCTATATATATATATATATATATATATATATATATATATATATATATATATATATGTATATATATATACAATATTAATGAGATATAACAGACAGTAATGCCAAGGAATGTACAGGGGAAGTTATTAAAACCAATGCAATGTAAATAAGAAGAAAGAAAAGTGGATGAAAAAATTACCAACTGTGAGTTGGTAATAGTACGCGTTTTTTGTTGCATTTCCTAGTTTTTATTTTTTTCTCATTGATGTTCTTTTAAGCTCCCCTTACACAATGCCCAACAGGTCTTTAAGGAGTTTCAAGTAACAACGTAACAACAACAATATAATAATAATAATAACAATAATATTATTAATGAAAATTATTATTATTATTATTATTATTATTATTATTATTATTATTATTATTATTATTATTATTATTATTATTATTATTATTATTATTATTATTATTATTATTATTATTATTATTATTATTATTATTATATACTTTATGTGTTGATTTACTTCCTTAAACCAGGCTATGTGCATAGGAGATGCCGTAATAGACGGCTTCACAAATTTCGACTATCTGGTGTTCTTTAACGTGCGCGGACCTCACACAGAACACAGGCCTCTGCTAGTTTGCCTTCATCAAAATGCAGCCGGAATATAATCCGCATCCTGCGGGTCAGCAGCTGAGCACCCGAACAGCTACATCACTGCGGTGGACTATTTGTACCATACAAGGGAGTTAAAGCCACGCTGGTGGCGATGGCAATACTTCCTTGTGAAATTCGTATGGTTACTATCGCGAATAAATTTGGAATTCGCGACTGTTTCTTTTGCTCGCAGCGGACCCTATCAGACGTAGAGGACTCACCCAATGCTGATGCCCAATGTATCGCATGGTACAAGCTCGAAGCAGTGGTAGAGCTGAAACAATAATAAAAATAAAAGAGACAAAGAGATAAATTCAGGCCCGATAAGTACTCCCGGTGTCTCTAGCTCCTTTTCTAACGACTGCTCACGCTTGTCATAGTTTAATGTGTGATTTAAGAGAAGTAGCAAGTGTAGCAACATCACTAAAGTGTAACTGCAAAACTGGCGTAGATGTTGGCGCGGTAGTCATCACACTAAAGTTGGCACTGCAGTTGTCTGCTGCCACCGCCGGTGTCCGTAACTGCTATTGCACGAAATGGGAGCAAACGCTAAATAAATAAAGAAAAAAAAGTGCCACCATATCCACGAAGTTAACGATGATGAGTGGGCGAAGCTCTGGAGGTAAACCTGGCAAACCATGAATCCACTGTACATTTTGCCCACTGGATGGATGGATGGATATGGCTGTACCCTTTCGATCGGGTGGGGGCTGGCGCCACCAAGCCGTAATACCTAATGAACAAAAACTATAGTTATTTTTTTCCTTAAAATGTGAGTTTGAGTATTCGTACTTTGCAGTGAAGAGTTTAATTTTCACTCGTGCCTTGACTTTAGCCACCAATCAGATAACCTCCTTCTAGTTAAGTCTACCCGCTTAAAGTTTATTTTGCCCTCCCGGTCCCAAACCCCAGTGCTTTGGAAAACTCTGCGCCATCATCCTGAACTATAGGGTGAAGCCCTTTACAGAACATTATCAAGTGTTCGGCAGTTTTTTCTTCCTCTCCACACGCACTGCATACTGTGTCTACCCCTTCGTATTTGGCCCGATATGTCTCGGTTCGCAGTACTCCCGTCCTGGCCTCAAACAGTAGAGAACTACCCCATGTATTATCATAGATCCTTTCCTTGGCAATTTCCTGCTTAAAATTTCGATAGATCTCTAGTGCGGACTTCTTAATCATGCCCATTCTCCACATGACAGTCTCCGTTTCCTTCACTTTCTTCTTAACCGATAGTTTTGGTTTGGCCACCTGCTGTCTTCTAAGTATTTACCAGTCAACTTCCTGGTTCGCTTCCTCCATTTTGTATCGACATTCTTCATGTACAAGTAGCTGAAAACCTTCCTAGCCCAACGCTCTTCCCCCATTTCTACTATCGCTTCTCAACTTTTATCTTGCTGCTAGCTTCCCTGCCATCAAATGATGTTCATCCCATATCACCTTGTACTCCCTGATTTAGTGTATTCCCGTGAGCTCCTAAGGCAAGCCTACCTATTCCACATTGCTTAATTTCTCAACTTGCTTAAACTTCTGATCTCATGCACAAGACCTCATTGCTGAACGTCAGACCAGGAACCATGACCCCTTTCCATTTTCCCCTCACAACATCATACCTATTGTTATTCCACAGTGGTCTGTTTTATGGGCGAAGCTCCTTAAGACCTCACGGTGTCCGCCTTCTTCCGTCTGTCCGTAACACCATGCAACTTTCAACTTTAAGCAACAGAGGGCATCGGTGGTAACCTTTTTGACGCTATATATATATATATATATATATATATATATATATATATATATATATATATATATATATATATATATATATATATATATATATATATATACATATATATATATATATATATATATATGTAACCACGTTCCATACAACACATTCTCGTCTCTTATATGGACGAAGACGAACGCAGGAAAGTGCGACGTGCTGAGCATCAGCGTCGCCTTCGACGGGAAGCTACCGCGTAGACAAAAGAGAATGAAGCGGATGCAAAGCGGCGACAGTGACAACAAAGTTCTACACCACAGACTAGGGCTAAGGAAGCAAAAACTAAGCGGGAAAAACGCCAAGATGACGCGCAGTTGAGACAACTTAAAGCGGATGCAAAGCGGCAATACCGACAAGAAAATTCTGCACCAGAGACGATAGCTTATGAAGCTGTGATTATGAAGTGAAAACGTAACCCGGAACTCGGAACCTCATATCAGCTATAAAGAAGACTCACCACTATATCACAATCAGTCTCAGTCTATCTCTTTGAGTTAAATACATATACATATATATATATATATATATATATATATATATATCACAACCGCAAGTATCACAACCGCAATCAGTCTCAGTACTATCTCAACATTAATCACAACAATCACCTCCGAAAGCTTCGCCCCATAATTATCTTCAACAAGCTTGAAATGCAGTGATTTTTTATTACCGCTGAATTCAAGTTACCTTTAGTCGTCACGTATATTTCGTGTTCCTTTAGGTACTCGGCCCCATTGCGTATCTATACGCCCAGATATTTGTATTTATCAGTTATCTCTAGCGTGACCTCCTGTATTTTAAGCTCACTACCTTCATTGTCATTAAAATCATGACTGCTGATTTTTCCTTACTGAATCTGAAATCTAACCTATCTACCTCATTACCGCAGATGTCCACAAATCTCTGCAAATCTTGCTTGTTGTCAGCCATTAGCACTATATCATCTGCGTACATCAATGCTGGTAGTACCTGTTCAATGAGTTTTCCTTGTTTGACGAAAGAAAGGTGGAAGACCAGTCCATTTCCCTCTAATTTGGCCTCTAATCCTTGTAGGTGCATCATGAATAATAAGGGTGACAGGGGACACCCCTACCTAAGCCCCCGTTTTGCGTCTGCAGGCTTGGATACCTGTTTTTCCTACTTTATAACTACCTTGTTACCTCTATAGGTATCCTTTAAAACATTAGTGACCACATCTTCCACGACTAGTGTGTCCAGTATTTCCCACAATTATTCTTGAACCACGCTATCGTACGCTTCCTTGATATCCTAAAATGCTAGCCAAAGGTGCCTATGTTCTTTTCTGCTATTTCTATGCACTGCGTCAGTGAGAACAGATTGTCTTCCAACCTCCTGTGTTTCTGAAACGCAATCTGTGGTTCCCCCAGCACCCCCTCATCCTCTATCTATGCCTACAGTCTTTCCTTTATAATCTGCATCGCCAGCCTGTAGACCACTGATGTCACTGTTATAGGACGGTACTTGTTTATGTCAGTTTTGTCCCCCTTTTCTTCATAGATTATGCTCATTCTGCTAAGTTTCCATCCATCGGGAACTTCACCATCGATTATTATTTTGCTCACTGCCTCTCTCAAAGCCTGCTTAGACTTCGGACCTAATGTCTTAATTAGCATAAATAATATGCCGTCTGGGTCTGTTACTACTAGGAACCCTTTTCTCAGCTCTTTCCCACTCTCGTTGTGAAAATGGAGCCATTGCGCCACTTGATTCATCCTTGTCTGTTGTAGTGCATGGCACGTCTTTGTTGAAGTTTTTCTGTCACCATTGTTTTTATATATTGTTGCGCATGCCTGCGAAGAAAACGAAATTGGGTGAACATGCTGGCTGCCCCAAGCTGGAGAAAGAAGGAAGACGACGACACTGCGATCATAAACGTGTTGGCAGCTCCGGCGCTTCTCTTCGCGACCAAAATAAACGGCCCCTTCAGCCGTATACGTCCTGGTCCTCTTTGAGCGTAACTGATTGGTGGAGGTGCTGGGTAAGACAAACCCAACGACGGGAGCTTCACTACCAGGACTTCGCCGCAGCAGCCGCCTTGCCGGACTCCCGCCTGCGCCGATCGTGATGACCCATGATCAGCCATCTAACGCTTCAAGGCCAACTCCAATGGGTTCCGTGCTGTACTACAGTGTTCCGCCAACCTTCGAAGGAAAATTGGGAGAACATATCGACGCGTGGCTCGTCCAGTACAAGCGATTCAGCAAGTCCAACGGCTGGAATGCCGCCACCCAGCTCAGCAATGTGGTGTTTTCCCTCACGGATACTGTGCTCGTGTGGTACGAAAACCACGAGGACACACTGACCACGTGGGACGTTTTTGTTGCGGAGCTGAAAGCGTGTTTCGGCGACTCGAGGGTCAAAAGGAAGCGGGCTGAGCAGACATTGTCTCAAAGCGCGCAGCTTCCAGGTGAGACATGTACAACGAATATAGAGAATGTGCTCAAGCTCTGCAAGGTGGTTAATGATCAGATGTCAGAAGGAGACAAAGTAGGAGCTTCTAAGTTTGTCATCGGAAAAGAGCACCTGAGCTCGGTGTCCGACGGCATTCGGCATTGCAGAACTTTCAAACAGCTGAAATGCTCAAGATTGCTTCAAAGTTCGGCCGGCTCACAAATGTTACAACGGTTTCCAGCATCGACACGAGCTCCTACCCAGACCTGTCCTCGACGATTAGACAGATTGTGCGCGAACATTTTTTTCGCTATAGAGAACAGACATATTCAGTTGATCACCACTTTGTAAACGACCAACGTTCGGTATATGTGCCACGTGAGGCTGTGACTGCGCCACTGCCTTCTACGACCACTTGGCAATCGATGGTTTGTGCAGCAGCTCTTGAGTACAGCGCACCACGACAGCCAAGGAGAGCAACACGCTTGCCAGCTCCTTGCCATGACCGACGCCCTCAGCGCCCGCCTTCTTCGCGACGCCCGGTCTATTCCTTTGATATACGGGACGAACAAACCCACTACGCCAGGGAAGACAATGTTGTATTCGTCGACGAACAGAGTTTCGACCTCTCACAGTTTGCTACTTCCTGTGGTGTCCCAGGACATATTTCGCGATTTTGCAGCCGTCGACATGTAGCCCCACGGTATGGCTACCATCACACTTTGAACGGCCTTCCGAACGACTTCGTGACGACCCGCGAACAACGTACTATGGCCCAGCACAACACTCCACACGATCATCTGATCGAGAGCACGACGACCCTAGGGCAACACACTTGCTGCCTCGCGAAGACTACTGGTCACGCAGCATCCGGAACCACTCCCCTACATCTGACAGGAGCTTGACGCCTCCACCGCCTCGTGTTTCCTGTTCTTCTTCACCCCGGCGTCGCAACACGTATCCTTTGTGACAGGAAAACTAGCAAGCGCGGCCGATGGAGGTGAGTTGCCGGAGACGTGCTAATATCAGAAATACCTCCTGTGTTGATGCTCATAAACAAAGTACGTGATTTTGTTGAC